CAGAAGCCAGATTTCGATTTATGCACTAATGCATATTCATCTGCCATCTCTGCAGCTCTTCTCACTGTTTGAACTTTCTGTTCCTCAACACGAGTTCTTATCACTTCTGAAAATGAGTTTTTAAACTCCTCCAGCAAAAGAATATCTCTAAGAGCCTCATATGTCTTTTCTATCTTCAATGCATTCACCCATCTATCAAAGTTGCTCTGTTTAATTCTTTCAAACTTGATATAAGTCTGACCTGGTTCCTTCCTTATATTTCTGAACTGTTGTCTATATGCTTCCGGTACCAATTCATAGGCACTCAAAATAGCCTGTTTCACTTCTTCATAGTCTCCTAACAGCTCATCTGACAGCGCTGCAAACACCTCGCTAGCCCTGCCTACCAACTTGGTCTGAATTAACATTACCCACACAGTCTCTGGTCAATTCATCAGCCTAGCCAATTTCTCAAAGTAAATTAAAATGGCTTCTACATCTTTTTCATTAAACTTTGGTAATGTTTGGATGTATTTGTATATATCCCTACCAGACTATAATGGGTTTGCTCATCCATCACTATCCTCCTCACTAAGCCTACCTTCATCTCCATCCTTTTAAGTTGACTTTCCTGTCTAATTGCCAACTTCTGAAGTTCAAACTCTCTCTTTCTCCCTTTCTTCTGCCAGAGCAATTATTTTCTTTTTGTTCAGCTAGGAGCCTTCTTTCCCTTTATTTGTCCTCTAACTCCAGCTGTCTCATTTGCAATTTAAGTTTTTCTAACTCCGTTGCACTTGACTGTTTCTCTGATATGCCAATGCTTGGCTAACTCCATTACTATTTCAGCTTTCTTATTATCCCTAGTTAAACCCAATATTAGTCTTCTGCTAATTCTAAAAGTGTTACATTTTTCTGTCTTTCTAAACTTTCTTGGCAAATTTGGGAAGCATCTTCCACTCCCAGAATCTCTTTAACAATGTTAAGAACCATTTCCCCACTTTTGATTTAACCAACAAAAAGCAGCTGAAATTAAACAGATTTTCCACTTGTCACTTAAGTTTTATTTAAATATCTAGGACACTAGTACCTGAGTCTGTTTAAATCTGCTGGGACCTTTCATACCCTAAATCTGTTCAAATCTGTCCAGATCTGTCCAAATCCATCCAAATCTGTCCAAATCCATTCAGATCCCAGACACAAGCCCCAGTCTGTTATAAAGCGGAGGTTGACCCCCCGCCCCCGACTCTGAGAACTAAAACCGAAACACACAAAGAGGAGCACCTCGCCCCATAATCTGTTAAAGGAGTGTGAAAAATGATATAACCTGCTTTTCAGCAACTTCTGGTCGTTAACTAAAATAAATCCCTGACACTCACTTTAAAATCAACAAGTAACAATTTTTTTATCTAACTCTAACAGTGAACAAAATAACTAAACTATTAACAACCCAAATAAATCCTTTCTAACTACTAACCATTCCCGAATAAAGCAAGATTCTAATAGTATGCTGTTCCAATAAATACAAGTCCCACTTACATAAAATTAAAAAAAAAATTTAGTCTCTTGAAATTACAGTCAGGTTACGTGTATTCCGGAATGTTCTGTGCCTTCTCTGTTGATTCTTCTGTCAGGAATATTAACTAGTTGTGCCATTGATATCATTGGTATTTAGATGGTGCTTTCTCTAAGACATAGAGGAGGCTGTGATAGCCAGCAATTCTCTCTTCAGAGCTAAGGGCTGCTAGCTCTGATAGATGGCAGTTAGCTCCGGGGTTTTGTCCAACTGCTCTGTTCTTTTGTACCTTTGATGACATATCAATATTTCTTACAATAGGACTTAAATTTGATACATTTTGGTACTGAAGTGCCTGGTTCAAATTGATTGGCTAAATTCAAAAGCTTGCTGTCTTGGTAAAATCTGGTGCTTGGCCTACTAACTGTACAGCCTTTCGATACAAATGTTTCAATTCGAGGGCTGTCTATGAACTTGCAAACATACAAGGTGCTGCTCACAGACATCCATTTTAAATCTCTAAGCACAGAAAAAATGTGATCTTTTAAGGGGACCACTCAATGCTCTCCCCCCTACTATTTTACAAACACCAAATTCTAACTTCCTGCCTCCCAATCCACAAGTACTCTACCAAACTTCACAACAAGTACATTATCAGGAAGCAGCTAACTTGAACTGATGCATTATACTGATGTAGGAATGTCCAACTTTCATGACCCTTTTTTTATTTGTGAGTTTGAGGAGTTCGTCTGGAACAGAGGCAGCCTCCTCCTGCCTCTGAGTCAGAGGCTCCAGGTTCATGATCCACTACAGGCCTTGAGAGCCAAGGAAGGTGTTTTCATAGCCTGGCTAAACAAGTTAAATGTCAACTGAGAAATCATTCCAAACCTGCACCAATGACAGACTCGAATGAAAGTGAAGCCTCTACCATCATGGTCCACAGCTCCAGGCTACAACATGAATGTAAAAGTGTGCGTTTCCAGAACAACTCAGAATCCAGGGTTGGGGGGAGTGGCAGTTAGGTCAGGTAGCTGGACAGCCAATAACTTTACATGGCTAGCATTTAAACATCTGTCACACCCTTGGGTAAGGCATTTCACAGTCACTGGTTGATCGATTGATTGATTTTTTTGTCATGTGTACTGAAATACAGAGAAAAGCTTTGTTTATGAGCAGTACAGGCAGATCACAGCAAGCAAAGGATGTACAGATCAAAAAGACTTAGAGGCATACAGGTTACATTGCAGGTTACATTATTTGAGGCTAGAGTCCATTCAACAGTCTGATAACTGCCAGAAAGAAGCTGTTCCTGAACCTGCTCGTGCGTGGGTTCAGGCTTCTGCATCTTTTGCCTGATGGAAGAGGTTGTAGGAGATCATTACCGGGGTGCAATGGGTCTTTGATGATGTTGGCTGCCTTTCCATGGATGGAAGATTGGCTTCTGTGATGGTCTGGGCTGTGCACACCACCTTCTGTAGTTTCTTACTGTCCTGAGCAAAGCAGTTGCCACACCAGGCCGTTATGCACCCAGACAGTATGCTTTCAATGGTGCATCTGTAGACATTAGTGAGGGGCCTTATGGACATGCCAAATTTCCTGAGCCGCCTGAGGAAGAAGAGGCGTTGTTGTGCCTTCTTGACTGTCACATCGACGTGGGAAGTCCAGGACAGGTTGTCGGTTATCATCACTCTGAGGAACTTGATGCTCTTTACTCTCTTAAACTCCGTTCCTTTTTCATGTAGATGAGGGCATGTTCTCCTCCTTTCTTTCTGAAATCAACAATCAGTTCTTTAGTTTTGCCGACATTGAGAAATAGATTATTTTCATTACACCAAGCCCTCTATCTCCCTTCTGTATTTTCACTCGTCATTGTTAGATATCCATCCCACTACGGTGGTGTTGTCAGTGAACTTGTAAATGGCTTTCATTCAGAATTTGGTAACGCAGTTGTGGGTGTACACGGAATACAGCAGGGGGCTGAGGACGCATCCTTGGGAGGCTCCAGTGTTGAGTCTTATTGTGGAGGAGGTGCAGTTACCTATCCTCAATGATTGCAGCCTGTGGGTCAGAAAGCTGAGGATCCAGTTGCAGAGGGCGGAGCCGAGACCAAGGTCACAGAGTTTTGAGATCAGTCTGGAGGGGATAATGGTGTTGAAGGCAGAGCTGTAGTTGATGAGCAGAAGTCTGGTGTAGGTGTCCTTGTTGTCCAGATGCTTCAGGATGAGTGCAGGGCTAGGGATATGGCATCTGTTGTGGATCTGTTATGTTGTTAGGCAAATTGTAGAGGATCAAGGCAGGCTGGGAGACTGGAGTTGATGTGGGCCATGACCAGTCTCTCAAAGCACTTCATGATTATTGAAGTCAGAACCGCTGGGCGTTAGTCATTAAGACACATTGCATGTGTTTTCTTGAGTATGGGGATGATGGTGGTCTTCTTGAAGCAGGTGGGGACTTCAGCTTGTAGGAGGGAGAGGTCGAAGATGTTGGTGAACACTTCCACCAGTTGGTCCACACAGGATCTGGATGTTTGGCTGGGGACACCGTCTGGGCCTGTCGCTTTCCATGGGTTGACTCCCAGGAAGACTGGTCTGACGTATGGAGCAGTGACAGGGGGAACAGGTGTGTCCAGGCTGTCAGGGCAGGCATCGCCATGCTGGTGGGATTCTGCTGAAATTGATCTTGTCAGGGAGGGACCTTATACTACTTCATTTTGAATCCCGTAATATTGTTTAGGCTTTGCCATAGACAGCAGGAGTCTGGTTGGTAGGTCTGGGTCTCTAACTTGGGCCTCTAACAGTAACTTTTAGCCACATTCACATGACAGTTTACACACTCACTGTGTCCTAAATGAAACAAAGAAAAACACCCAGATATTCAGCTTTTAAGAAATACACACACATTGGCCAAGGCTCCCAGTCACTGGATCTTTAATGTTCACCTGAGGGCGAATAGGGACTCTGGCTATTTAATCTGAAAGAGGACCTGAAAACAATACAACTCTCAAAAATAGAGCAACAAAGAGGCGCTGATAGTTAAGGTTAAATCCGTGACGGAAGAGCGGGAGAGCTGGGCGGGAAATGGACCACGAGATTTGAAATTTGCTGCGCTATTGATGAAAATTCATGACAAGAATTCAAAATGAATGGACGTCTTTTCGTGAGGGACGCGCACGTGTGGATAGAAAAAAACACAGATGGAGTATATGTTGGATTTGAGATTCCACTTCTCAGTTGAGTAAATTGACTAGACACACGACTCATAAAAATCAAAGAATGCAGATTGAAGCCGACCCTCCCCCCTCAACAAACACAGCCTGAGGTTTGTGACCCCTTGAAGTGAAATATGAAGCTCTGCTCAGTTCCGCCTGCCCCCTGGAACAGCGACAAACGTGGAGCCAAGGCAACAGCGTGTATCTAATTGGAGCATGGCCCCGGATTGGCCGCTCACCCTGGACACTGTTGCTAACAACGTTGCCTCCTGAAATGAACAGCCCTTTCTGCAACACAAAAACAAATTGCTGGAGAAATTCAGCAGGTCTGGCAGCATCTGTGGGCAGAGAAACAGATTTAACGTTTCGAGTTCGGTGACCCTTCAGGACAGCACTTGTGGAGGAACGATTAGGTTCCGGTTCTGGTCGCACCGTCCAGCCAGGGGTAGGTCCTGACACTTTGCTCCAACATTATAGCCAACTGCCCTGCTATCGATTTGTAGGCTGTGTGACCTGAACCCGGCAAACGGGTTTTGTTCTAAATAATTAGCTGGCAGTGTGCCCGCTGACCCGCCCGGGACCCGTTCCTGAGTTTTGTTGTTTTGATTTTATTGCATTAGAATTCGGGCAGATTTCAGTCGGAATGGTTACAAAAGAGACAGAAAAGAAGTGTCGTTTCCCGCAGTCTCTACTTTGAAAGATTTCCAGTGTAATGGGGAGGGGGGAGGGAATCTGCAAAAATCTCAAGCAAAAATCACCCCTATTCGTGCTGCAGTCAAATTTGGTTTGAAATTTTCCTAAATTCAATGGTTCTGAGGCTAAAGTCCCATCCGGTAAGTCCTTACGAAATGCAAACCAACCAAAGAAACTGTTTAAACTTCTTAAATACTCCTTGAACATCTCAATAGGGCTTGTTGCTGAAAGTCCTGAAGGATAACAAACTGCAACCCATGGGGCCTGAGCCAAATACTCAGCCCACTAGGAAATATGTGAACTGAGTTTGAACATTGGTAATGAGATGACAGGTTCAATGAAGATCTGTACATGAAGGATCCACTGATAGGAATCACTTTAAATAATATATACAAAGTTAGCTGCTGTATTAAACACAGTCCAAATTCAATGCTCGTAATACTTTGTGTGCGGCTCCATGTGCAACATTCAAGAGTGTCTTACATGATTATGTGTCTTACAGGATAGAAATAATGTGCAAGGGTATGGAAGAAAAAGGAGATTGGCAGTAGGTAATGATGTTTATTTGAAGAATTAGTGATGATGCAATGGGCCAAATGGCCTTTTTTTTAGTGTTCATTCCCAGGATGAGGGTGTCACTGGCTAGGCCAGCATTTATTGTCCGTCCTTAATTGCCCAGAGAACAGATAACAGTTGATGACATTACTGTGGGTCTGGAATCACACATAGGCCAGACCAGGTAAGGACGGCAGTTTCCTTCCCTAAAGGGCATTAGTGAACCAGATGGGTTTTTCTGACAATCGGCAACAGATTCATGGTCATCATTAGACTCTTAATTCCAGATGTTTGTTGAATTCATATTCCACCATCTGCCATGGCAGGATTCAAACCCAAGTCCCCAGGTTAACTGGGTCTCTGGATTCACCGTCCAAAGATAATATCACTAGGCCATCATTTCCCCTATCCTGCATGATAACATCCTTCTGTGATTCAGTGAACTGTGGAGTGCAGACTGATCAGAGACCTCAAAACTACAGGATTTTGACTGTCCCTCATAACTCCGCATCAACTAATACAGTCACAGACTGAAATTTGAGAGGCAAAGTAAGCATGCTATTGTTGTTGAGATATCAATAAAACATATTGTTGTGTTCCATAGATAATCTAGAAGATAACAATGCCTCGTGGGAGTGCCTCAAGCAATCGTTCCAATGCAAGCGATGGGGACATGGAGGGACTTGGTAGGAAATGTATATATCTAAATTATAATGAGTAGGATGTTTTTGTGTACTCACGAACTATACTAGACACCCAGTGATTTTAAAAGTACAATGCATTCATCTTCCTTGTACTGACCAATCTCCACCAAGTCTACCTCTTAAATTACATGCCTTGGGCCATTCTGAGGGGAGTGAAAAGTATTGCGTAAATACCTTCTCATTCCTTCAATCTGCCCCTCACTGCTCCCTGAGATCTCGGCTATTCTCTTACAGCTGAAACAGAGTTGGCAAAGCTGCAGCATCAGTTTCGAATCATGGAAGGAGACCGCCAGGCCTACACTCTCGAGTCACAGCAGCTGCTCAGGAAGCAGTTGTAAGTATCAGCAGCCTTCAGTGGGGTGGAGTTGAAGTGAAAATTCAGTCAGACAGTGGGAAGTGGAGGCACTTGTGTCAGCCTTCCATCTGTGTCCATGAATCTTGTGGAAAACAGACTGAGAAGATGAAGGGATCTTTGCAATTGGTTTAATGGCTCTAAGTGATTGGATATTTGGACAGAAAATTCCCTCTTCCAAATAAGTACCATTAATGATGAAAATCTAACATTCATTCAATTGCAAAACTACCAGAGGAATCAGAACCGGCTGTTTCTTGCAGCTGGAATAACTTTGCCCAATATCAGATTATGGAGCATTTGATGGGATAATGTAGAAGGAATTTACATAGTTTCTAACACTTGCTGTGTCTGTTCTGCAAGTATTTAATATTGGAATCATAAAATCCCTTGACAGCAGAAAGAGACCATTTGGTCCATTGAGTCTGCACTAACCTCCAAAGACCATCCCACCCAGACCTAGCCCCTGACCCTAAATCCACCCAGCCTGTACATCACTGGATAACATGGTAATTTTTTAAGCATAGCCAATCCACCTAACCTGCACATCTTTGGAGTGTGGGAGGAAACCAGAGCACCTGGAGGAAACGCACACAGACACAGGGAGAATGTGCCGGAGAATGTGCAAACTCCATACAGAAAGTTACCCAAGGCTGGAATTGAACTTGAGTCCCCGGTGCTGTGAGGTAGCAATGCTAACTACTGGGCCACCCTGTATTGATAGTTTATCTTTGCATAAGGTGTAACTGGTTTTAAAAGTTACTGCTCTGTCTGAATTTTGTATCACTATTTGCGACAACATTAATTCCTAACCCTTCTGGTTTTGCCAGGGTGGAAATTGACAATCTGGAAAAGGACCGCGAGGAGCTGATGTTGAACCTAAGGCTGTTGGGCAGTAAACGCAACCAGAAGGAGGACAGGGAAAACATGGAAAGTGTTCAGAATATGCTTAGCTACCAAGAAGAGCTGGAGGATCAGATTGCTAGAGAGAAGCAAATGATCACGGATCTTGAACATGAGGTGCAGATAATGGTCACTCATGACTCACGGGGGAGATTGGGAACCTCTTGAGTGGAACATGGTCCAATGAGTAGTGAGATTGTCTGGGATTGACAGTGGGAGATTCTGTAGGTTCTCTTGACTGGGCCTCATTGACACACCACTGGGCAATTTACAGCTCAAAGCACAAGGGAAATGGCAGAACCTTTGGTAGCTCAGAGGTCACTCTCTGGGTCCAGGTGACAGTCGGTGGTTTTCCAAAGGGGGAAGGTACCTGGCTTTGGGGAGGGGTTTGGTGGGACTGGTATAGAGGCCAGGTTGCAAAGGGGGTGAGGTGTGAGAAAGAACGCAGACTGGAGAGGGGTCAGGTTAGAGGGGTTAGGAAAGAGTATCCAAACAGAAAAAGTAAGTGGACCATGCTGGAGTACCGTATCGGGACTGGTCTAATGTTCCCTGGTATTTACTTACCGCCTTTCGTAAATATTGGCATCACACTAGGCACCCTCCAGTTATGTGAGAAGGGATGTATTTGTCTGTGTATGTGTGTGCTTGCAGATGTGTATTGTGTATATTCATGGCATTTGTGTTGTTACTTCTTATTCTACAGATGAATGTTTAGTGAAGTTATCTTTGTATTCAATCTCTTTTTAATAGATAAAGATGTTGAAGCAAAAGATCTTTGAGCAGAAGAAGGACTTGAGTAAAGGTGTAAATGTTCAAGTGATGAATGAACAGGTGCTGAAGAACATTGGAATCATGGAGGACAGGTTGGACAGGGTAAGAATTTTCAGAATGTGACCAGAGAACAGAAAAACATCAGCAATTGATAAGAGACAATGTTGCTGACCAATGAATTTAAAGTAATGACTGGAGATGGTGAGACCCAAAATATCAGAAAACTAGAAGCTCAGACAAATAGAAAGGGATTCCTTTTAAAGTCATGAATTGACTGCCTCCCTTTTGTTCACCTCTTATTGCGGCTCAGTCCTCATGCATGACTTTTGTACATATCAGGGCTGAACATTTTCCAGTAGGACACTGAATAGAAATCAAAGATTCATTTCCACATACTGTCATGAGCAATCAGGGAGCAACATACATAAAGAATTCCCAAAGCAAATATTGAACAATGAATTAGATTAACCATAGAATCCCTACAGTGTGGAAACAGGCCCTTCAGCCCAACAAGTCCACACTGACCCACAGAGCATCCCACCCGTACCCATCCCCCTATAACCCACCTAATCTACACATCCCTGAACACTACAGGCAATTTAGCATGGCCAATCCACCTAGCCTACACATCTTTGGACTGTGGGAGGAAACAGGAGCACCCGGAGAAAGCCCATGCAGACGTGGAGAGAACGTGGAAACTTCACACAGACAGTCACCCGAGGGTGGAATCGAACCCGGGTCCCTGACGCTGTGTGGCAGCAGTGCTAACCACTGAGCCACTGTGCTGCCCTTGTATGTTGCTCGATTTTCTAGTTCAGCTAGTATTTGATATATCATAGTGAGGCATTCCTGCTCTGTCTCTAAACTGTCTTACACACTGTAAAGTCAGTGCTGTCTCACTTTACAAAAGCAAGCAAACACAACACAACCGACTGGCATATAGCCAACCAGAATAAGTGAACACAATGGATTCTGATGGGAGCTGGGACTTCACTTTAGTCCCATGAACATTAATGTCTGTTGTGATCTGTTTCAGTTGCTGCCCAGTTAACTTAATATGGAGCAATCCAAGGGTTTCTCACCCTACCTCTAGACCAGGTGAGGTTTCAAATCAGGATATGATGGCCACATAGGTACATCATAACACATCCAAACAGGTTAGGTAAAACAAAACGTATCACAGAGCAGATTTTAAGTTTAAGATCCCTTATAAAGGCTCTGCTGGGTTAAGCTATGGTTTGTACTGCCAGTAATGAGATGCAGCTATTAAACTTGGCAAAATTTTTCTACTTTTCACAAGGTTTGTATTGCACTTTCTTCCATAGAGGGCTCGTAGTTCAAAGGTTCATCTATAGTTTCATACATAAGTTGATCTACAGGCTGTCTTGCTGGATTTGGAATTGAAATGGGATGGCTTTCAATTGATCTCATAAAGTTGCCAAACTTCCAGGATTGACCTGGAGCTTTCAGGAAATAAAGATTAACCTTTAGAAAACTGCTACAAAAATATCCCAGAAGTAAAAAAAATTTTAGTCAAATTATCGAAGATAAAGAAAGTTGGATTTTTGATGGATAGTCAAGAATTATCCAAACAAGTAACAAAAGGCCCCCATATTGACAAGTGGGTTTTCCAGGCAGAAATAGGGGTTTCAAATGGGAAACCCTGATGTCCAGTTTTCTTCCTGGAAAGTTTTAGTCCCATGGCCAGAATATTTTATTTGACAGGGTTCCTGCCCCAACTCAGCTTCATTGACAGGTTTAGCTCCCAGTCAGGCAAGGAGTTCTCTGCAGCAGCACTTAATGTTTCCCTAAAACTAGCCCTCACCTCCCCTGAGTTGCTGGTTTTCCCATGGCCTCGGAGACCTGGTTAAATAGTCTGGAAAGGAGATTAGACATGAATCTCTTAGCTTTGTTATAATATTTTTACAGTCAGCCTGCCTCCCTGGAAGTGGGTTTATTGCCCACCACTGAAATTGGTTAACCCAGGTCAAGTTTGAGATTTAAATGTTTTTAATATTTCACGCATTCCCACTCTGTCAGTCTCTGGACGTTAGATTTACTGCGAAGGAGTCTGTTCACTTTGCATGTCATATGGGAACGTGGGCATCATATGGACAGGGGTGTCAGTCAACCAAATGTGAAAATATAGAGATGAAGTGGATGGAGATAAGTAGTCGGGTGATGAAATTTCCATGAATACATCCAACTCAAATTGACAACTCAACTGTCCTTTTAGTTGAAATAATCTGTGATTATTACTACCCTTCATCTGCAGGCTCTGAGGAAGTTTAATACCCAGCTTACGAGGAATGGGCAATTGAGGAAACAGATTGACACTCTACGTGTTGAGCGCGCAAGGTTTGAGCAGCTCCAGAAGAAACTGGGAAAAGTGAGGATTGAAAATCATTCTTGTTCGTCTCGTTTTAGGTAGTCTTTCTCTCATTCACTGCAGATCACCATTTTGCTGAGAGGATGACGTACTGAGGGACAGCAGCCCCGGGTTCCCTGACTCAACAGCCCCACTGCAGCAGGGGAGCTTTGATGCCAATCTGCAGCTAGTGTGTATTCAAGCTGTCAGTCTGTCTCTGACAGTAAAAAATATTCAGTGATACTTAGCTTTTATTTTGTATTTCTTGGGTGACTCTGATGAGGTTCGTATTTATTGCCCATCCCTAGCTATCACAAGTTAACCACATAGTGGTGGAAGAGAAATGTATGTAGACAG